TTCACACCTGATGAGAAATCTTTGTAATATAAGTATTTCATCCTAATCGTGGTTATAGCTTAAGCTAAATAGGATTGACATATTTTGACTTGTGAATTGCTTTATTAGAGAATAATAGGAGGAAATAAAGAATGAAAAATCCTTTTATGAAGGATTTTCAGGTGGCTAATGTATAAATTTTTGTGATTATGCATGGGTTTCCTGCTTTGCCACTTTTTTAATGCTTTTCAACTACAAATGACTTTTCTTTGAAGAGTTGATACTGGTTCTTTCACTTGAAAATGTTATACAGTAAACATCTATATCATCTACATGTGACAATGGTTATCAATGTATGACACATTTTACAACTTGATAAAAAGAATAAAGTGAGGTCACATTAGCTAAGCATTAGACCTACTTGGATTTTTTTTTTCTTTTTTTGAGACAGAGTCTCACCCTGTTGCCTAGACTAGAGTGCTGTGGCGTCAGCCTAGCTCATGGCTACCTCATAATCAAACTCTTGGGCTTAAGAGATCCTCTTGCCTCAGCCTCCCAAGTAGCCAGGATTACAGGCATGTACCACAACACTCAGCTAGTTTTTCTATTTTTAGTACAATCCTGGTCTTAGTCATGTTGGTCTCAAACTCCTGAGCTCAAGGGATTCACTCGCCCTGCCTTTTCAGAATGCTAGGATTGCATGTGTGAGCCACCACTCCCCCATCCCCTCCTAAATTCTTTAAAAGTTGAGCATTTAAGTCTCTCCTTCCAGGCAACTTGGTCTGAAATAGCCATTATGTTTTTCAAGACACAAAACGCACAAACTTAAGAGCAATGAGGTTATACTGACTACCTGTATAAATGATTTGACAAATAAAAATAGAAGCTCCTGGCTTCTATTGTTTCTACTTGCAACTTTTGTTGCTAAATTATTGAGAAATCCTACCACATCTCCTAGCCTATTAGGCCTCACTAACGGAAGGACAGAGACCTTTGTTTCTCCAGCTTTCACTACCGTATCTTGCACACAGTGGGGCACAGACACCTGTACGTTCTTGCAGGTTATTACTATCCCTATATATTGTGTATCAGATAGAGTGACAGAATCTAACAGTGAGTGATGGCTGCACTTATTTTAAGGGCAGTAC